TTAAAAAAAAATAATTATGAGACATAATAGCATTAACAAATTTTCCATCTGTTGTGAAACTTCTTTTCTTGGGGATGCTAAACAATGCTTATTCCCTTTTAAGGTTCTAGTGTCAAGCCAATGTTTGATGAAAGTTTTACTGGGGAACCAATGAATTTACTGAGCTTACTTACCAAGATAACTGAGGGGTTGCTGAGGTGTATATATGACCTGAGGGTATGCACACTGGAAAACCTTTACCCAGCATGGGTCATGCCTTCTCTTCCTAACTTTCCCCAGATTGCATACTTTAGCCCTCCCCAAATCCAGGAAAGCATGTGTGATTAGGGCCAAATTACAAATAGCTGGCTGGGAAGAGTGGCTAGATACTCTGGTGAGGGTCCAATAACCCTGCTTGGCCCTCCTTTAATGAAAGGGCACAGCGATCAGGCACAGCTGCAGTCATGATGATGGTAGTTATTTCATGCAGTAGAGACTGCTGTACAGCATCATCTTATTAAAAGGACCTGGAATTTAAAAGGATATGGTGATAGGATCCACAAATGTGGGAGGACATACGTTGTTTGTTTTTCTGAGATTGTGTTACTTCACTCGGTATAACAGTTTCTAGATCCATCCATTTACCTGCAGATTTCATGATTTTATCTTTCTTTACTGCTGAACAGAACTCCATTGTGTAAATATACCACATTTTTGTTAACCACTCCTCAGTTGAGGGACACTTAGGTTGCTTCCATCTCTTAGCTATTGTGAAAAGAGCAGCAACAAACATGGATGTACATGTGTCTCTACGATAGGATGAGTCCTTTGGATATATGCCAAGGAGTGGTATAACCGGGTCATATGGTAGGTTCATTTTTAGTTTTTAAGGAGTTCTCCATACTGTTTTCCATAGAGACTACATGAGTTTGCAATCTCACCAGCAGTGAATGAGCATTCCTCTTTTTCCACATCCTTGCCAGCATTTGGTATCATTTGTTCTCTTGACCCTAGCCAGTCTGATTGGGGTAAGGTGGTACCTTAGGGTGGTTTTAATTTGCATTTCCCTAACTACTAATGATGCTGAACACTTTTTGAGATCTTTCTTAGCCATCTTTATTTCTTCCTTTGAGAACTCTGTTTAGATCTTTAGCCCATCTTTTAATTGGGTCATTTGGTTTCTCAATTCTTTGTTTTTTGAGTTCTTTGTTTTTTGAGTTCTGACACGTCTGTCAGATGTGTCACTGGTGAAGATTTTTTCCCATTGCTGCCCTCCTCTGATCTCAGTGCCTCTCACCTTCACCTCCCTCTTCTTGCCCTTGGACTAGAACTGATCTCAAAGCCTACTCTAATCCTTGCCATCCTTCCCACTATAAGTGGTAGAAACCCAACGGGCATGATCTTAAGTGAAGTGGGAATCTGTCGACACTTATGTTAGGAGGTCTACTGTGAAAATTCAAAGGTCAGACAAAATGCATATAGGAAGGAAGACCTGTCATTGAAACTGCTACAAACCGCTCCTCCCTATCTCCCTTCTTCCCCTCCTCCTCCTCTTACTCTTGCTCTTCTCTTTTTTCTCTCTCCCCTCTCATCTCTCTCTCTTCTCTGTTCTACTGTCATCTGTCTCTCCTTCCTCATCTTTTATTTCTCTCTCTCATCATTTTCTCTGCTCCCTCCTCTCCCCGCCGTGTGTGTCCACCTTTCCCTCACTTCCCGTATCTGTCCATCTCTCCCTCGTTCATTCTTTCTTCCCTTCCCCCAGTACATGTAAGTCTCATCTATGCATATTGCACCTAGGTTCCTTTTGCAGACTCACAACCTCTACATACCTCCCAGAAGAGGGTTCTGATCGCCTAGCTTAGGACTGGTGCTGGTCAGAAGCACAGAGGGTCATTATGGTCTCTGCCTAGGTCCCAGTCTTCCTTTGGTAGAGACAGTAAAAGGGCAAGAGAGGAAACACCTGCCCAGCAGTACAAGGAGCAGTTCCCAGAGTCCTCTGGATCCACCATGTCAGACACCATTTAGCAAAATACTTAGATCTCAAACCTCATAGGAAACAGAAGTAAATTAACACTGACCTTGAAAAACTACCTTCTAGTCACTTAGCCAATCACTTATCACTCTTTGTGAAGCTTACCATGGATGTCCCATGTCTCCTGAGGCTAGTCTGCCCATCATTGCCAGATGTGGAGTTATCAGAGTGGGGTGCAGCCCACTCCAATATACCATTTGAGTTACCTTAGTAGGTTAGCACATGTCTCCATACCTCATTGGGCAGTTCATCTTGGTGTTTATCCAAGATGTTATGGCTAATGTTCCCATTTTAACCCCAATGTTAATGGTCCCTTTATGGGAATCTTGGTTCAGACATCAGAGGCCACACTATTTTCTTAAGGCTGAAAGACATGCATATTCATTAGGAAAGTCCAGAATCTCTTAGCATCAAACATGTTTAGAGTATCCCAGCTGTCAGAGAAAGAGGCCCAGTTCATCATGACATCCCAGGACTGCTTCAGTTTCCATGACCTTGTCTTCTCTGAGTCTCTCTCTCTCTCTCTCTCTCTTTATCTCTGCCCATTCAGGAGTGTACACATTTCTGTCTAGCACCCTTAAGTCCCTGGAAGAGAAAGACCACATCCACCGGGTCTTGGATAAGATCACAGACACCTTGATTCATCTGATGGCCAAAGCAGGCCTGACTCTGCAGCAGCAGCACCGTCGCCTGGCCCAGCTCCTGCTCATCCTCTCCCACATCCGGCATATGAGGTGAGGTAGCCGGAGTCCCACAGCAGAGACAAAGGAATCTGGCCCAACCACCTCTGTATAACAGCTGCCCCAGGAAGAGCTGCTGCCTGCACAGGCAACGTACCCTTGGAAGGGTTCATGACTCATATGCTAGGGGAGGACAGGAGAGGGGGATACAGAACCTGCCCAGGCCATGCAACAGGGGTCAGAGAGGATGCCATAGAGGGAGTGACATGTACACAGGTGTGCTTTGAAGCACGTGAAAAACTCATGGGGTGTCAGGAAGAGGCCAATCAAAGGGTGTCTGTGAGCATGAGCCATCTCTAAAGGCACTGGACACACATATGTTACTGTTACAGCATCACACCCTACCTACCTACACCTGGAGACCCCAAACAAGCAAACCCTGGACCAGAATTTCACCTAGTCAAGTTGGAGAGACCTGGTTGCCATGTCTCCTCTGGATTCCCCAAGAATCTCAGTGTCACAAATGTGGTGTTCCCTCTGCCCCATCCAGTGGGTGACCACATTCAAAGGAAGTGGGTCCAATCCTTCCCTTTTCTTTCTAAAGAGCATGCTGGAGAGAGAAGCAGAGGGTTGCAAGAGCATGACCCTGCTAAATCATCTGGCTGAGAGGGTAATTTTCTCCTTGAAGAAAACACTTTAGGTCTTAGTCCAAGTGAGGAATGTCACCAATGTTGTAGCAACTATGTAACCCCTGTGAGTGTTTTGAGTTGTTGATAGCAACGGCTTATCTTTCAAATCTGTGAACTGTTTTTTAGCTTTAGCAAGCCTAATTAGTTCACACCAAGTATATTTCCAAAAAATACCAGCTGGGGATTTACTGACAGCATGTGGCAGAGGGCATGACAGAGACAGTACTTTGTAGAGAGAGCTTCCTTTGTAACTGTGAATGAAATATGGAAGAGAGGTGGATGTTTGCTGAAAGCTTTCAGCCTCTCTCTCCTCCTCTTCTCTCTCTGTCATGCATACACATAACATATACCATACAAATTACTATTTTTGTGCCTCACTGCATCCAATCCAAATCACAGAACCGTTTTGTTAAAATTGGCCCTAGCCATATGTTGGTACACAGAGAATTTAACACCAGATTTCATCATCTGACTGTAAATGTGATTCATTAGATTGCATGCTGAAGGCAGTGGTAGAGCTAGGGGCATTTAACTTCAATACCACTTTAAATTAAAAAGCCAAACAAAAACAGAACAACACTCCAATATGCAATTGAAGTTGGATTTCAATTCTGCATGGCTCTGGTATTGTTTCAGTTACACAGCTCAGACATGTGCTGGCTCTTTACCACCACTGATGTAGATATTTCTTAGGACAGTCTCTTGGTTCTGCCTATTCAGAGTACATATTGCTTTATTCTGTTTTATGGTTTTATCATTTTCAGACAAGTTCTTACTGTGCAACCAAGGCTAGCCTTGGACACACTACATAGCTTAGACTAGTTTTGAAATCACAATTTCCCCACTAACCCAGCCTTCCAAGTGCTAGGAATACAGGTGTGTGCCATCACAACTGGCTATGTATTGCTTTTAAAAGAGAAATTTTAAATCATGAAATAGTTACGGTCTCCTGTTTGTCCTGTCCAGCTGCAGGGGAAGGCAAAGAAAGTAATGGAGGAAGGAAGAAAAAGCCATTTGCCTACATCACCCTCCTCCCCCATTCCCTGTTCTGGGCAACAGTTACTGTTCTAGGGTGTGGTAAAGGATAGGATGGTGTGGAAGAGAACACTGGAGCCACAGGAGCTGAGGCAGTTACCACAAAAGCCTCTCAGTCACAAGAGGCATTTGAAAACTCAGGGGAAGTGCATCCAGGAAAACAGAACAGCAAGCACAGATTCCCCAAGTCTGGGAGGGTCTTAGTTCCATTAAAGAGCAACTCAAAGGCCAAGGTGGCTGAGAGTGACTTCAGCATGTGAGACAGGTTGTGCTCTGTAAGGGGGATGGAGGCCAATCATTTGGCCCTTAGAGATCACAGAGAGAACTTTTGATTTTATTCTGAGATTGACAGTAAGTCACTGAGAAGTTTAGGCAAGAGTTCCAGCCCATAGAATGGTCTGGTCCACAGTCAGGATAGGCGTTTTCACCTCAGTTCATCCCATATAGAAACTCCCTCGTAGACATGCACAGACATTTGTCTCCTAGGAAGTTCTCGACCTTGTCAAGTTGACAATATTAACCACCACAGAGAGGAAAGACATAGCAAACATATTGAAAGAAAAGTGTGTTTGTGAGAGTGCGATGCTTTTATGAGATGGAGGAAATGAAATCACGTGGACATGAATCCCAGCCTGGGAGCTCTAAAGCCCCCCAGGCTCTGCTGATGCTATTGTAAGATGGATCTTTAGGAAGAAATATTGGCAAGAGTCTTTGGAGTTTCTCTTACCCTTCCTTCCTAGGAACCCCATCCTGGGCTGTTCATCTTGGGGTCTAACGTAGTCCTCTCTGTGTCCCCTCTCGCCTAGTAACAAAGGCATGGAACATCTGTACAACATGAAGTGCAAGAACATCGTTCCCCTCTATGACTTGTTGCTGGAGATGCTGGATGCCCACCGTCTGCACACTCCGACAAGCCGCATGGGAGTCCCCTCAGAGGAGCCCAGCCAGAGCCAGCTGACCACTACCAGTTCGACTTCAGCACATTCCTTGCAAACTTACTACATCCCCCAGGAAGCAGAGGGTTTCCCCAGCACAATCTGAGAGCTTCTGGGCTCCCCCCAAAGTTCTGAGAATCCCTGCAGCATTTTACTCATGTCATGCATCACTTTAGCAGAATTATGTCTCCTGCGTATACTCTGGCATGCATCTACCACCAGTGGCTTTCCAATATGAGTGGACACTCATTTGCTTGCTCAGTTCCTAGTGGCACGTCTTCTGTTGGGAACAGCCAAAAAGGATTCCAGGGCTAAATCTTGGTAACAGCTCTCCTTCCCCCTTTGCTACATTACTAAGAATGAGGATTCCTATAGCTCTTCATGACTGAACTCAGCCAATGAGAGGACTGCATTAAAGCTTCTTGTTGAGACCCAAGCCTGGAGAGTAGACATTTCACCACTGATAAATGCTTTGTAATGTCTCCAAGAAAAGCCTCAGGAAAGAATTTAAAGTGGCTCCTTTAATTGAAGCCCTAGGGAAAGGCAGCTCAAGGGCTCCTGATAGCATGCTCTTGTATATTCCTGTAGCAGAATGTCACTTTATTAAAGTGATATCATGATCATTTTGACCCAATGGCTGCAGCACAAGATTTGGTGATTCTCCATTCATTTCCCCTATAGGAATACAAAATTCACACAGGGAGGGAACCGCCCCAGTGGTTAAGACCATGTCGCTTTAATGCACTGCATCTTCAGGCTTCTGAAATCTCAACTGCTTAGCACTACACACACGTCATGAGTTTCACATAATTCTTGCTTCCCGTGGCCTGTGGAGATCAACAAGTGGATATCAGTTATGTTGCCCCTACACAGACCAGTCTCCCCTCAAGAGGGATAAGTTCTAAGGTTTGTTTAGCTTTGTTTTGTTTTTGTTTTTATTTTCATTTTCATTTTAGAAAAGAAAACCCTCTACCCCTGGGACTTGAGGCAACAGCAACCTGTGACTTGCTCTGGTGGGTCTCACATTCATCGGCAGAGGGTGCTCTACTTGGCTCTTCTTTGGTGTGAATTGCCCTCAGTTGTTCCCATATAGAGAAATCAAGGGCAGTTACAAGGAGCAGGCACCCCGGTGATACATATTGTTTCACTTTGCTGTTTATTGTTGGGGGATGGGGCCCAATAGTAGCTGTGTATGATAACTGTGACTCCTAGAGAACAGGAGAGAAAGTCGGGGGAAAACGGGAGAAACGTGAGACAGGTGCAGTGTGGTGGCCACAGCCTGGAGCTTCCCAGGGGTGCACTTCACAGCACCCCATAATGCACAGCGGGGCTGCCCTGGTATCCCAGGGGTAATTTGCCTCATCTTTATTTCCAGTGCAGTCTGAATTGGAAGAGGCAGCAGTAGACCGGTTCCTGCAGTTGGTCAGGAGGTGGGGCAGGAAGCAGAGGAGCACTCATGATTCAGGCTGCTGCTCAGACTCTGGTGTCATTAGTGACTCAGAGCTCATCCCAAAACCAGTTAGTGCAGCCTTGGGAAGAAAAAATCCCTCCCTCTCCGTAGCTCATGCTCCTAAAGTTCATAAACCAGGAGACTGAGACCAGAATTGGGCCACAAAAATCCTTTGGCCAGTGGATTGATAAAGAAAGGCTCACCCTGATCACAGAGCCACCTTTCCCTGAGGCCTCGACCTTTCAGTGCAATTAAGGGGTTATTTTCTTTCCTTAACCAAAATGGAAGTTTGTTTTCCTTCCCTGGCATCATGGTCTATAATTCAGACTCCACTGAGATGTGATATGTTAGCCAACAACCCAAATGAGTGGCTGGGCTTCTCTTGGTATGTCCTGTTACGGAGTGCTGGGTACTATTGATTTCTGGTCTCTCGATTAAGTGACTGCCAAATAACTGGGAAACTGGGCAGGCCCCAAATTTTTAAAAAATCCATTTTTTTCACATATGTGCATCAAATTTTGAGGTAATTTTATGAATTTACATTAAGAATGTGTTTAGGAGCATATTTCTTTTGTTTGTGTTTAATTGTTTATCAGACAATTGAATGTAGTAATTCTGTTCTGAGTTTAATTTGACTGGGTTAACACTGCAAAAACCAAGGGAAAAGATTTAGATTTTTTGTAGACTTTTCAAGCTACCTTGTCATGTATGCAGTTCTTAATACCTAAAGCCTGGTGATTCTTCATTTCAGTGAAGATCACATTTCATATCAACTTTTGTATCCACAGTAGACAAAATAGCACTAATCCACGTGCCTGTTGTTTGATCTTGAATGATAGACAATTTTATGTAGCATAGATTACGCCTCAAAAGGAAAATTATTCAGGGCAGCTAATTTTGCTTTTACCAAAATATCAGTAGTAATATTTTTGGACAGTAGCTAATGGGTCAGTGGGTTCTTTTTAATGTTTATACTGAGATTTTCTTTTAAAAAAATAAAAACAAAAATATAAAAAAAAAACTTCTAGGACTATAGATGATGAGTAATACCAGCTAAATCCAAACAATAATATAGATGAAGGTCTGACATTTTTCATCTACTGTGTTTGTATTCGTGTTAAGGTATTCCTACATTTGAAATGGGCAGAGAACATCAGACAGCTGAAATGTTAGCCCACAAGTTTCAAACATTTTTTGGAAACCTCTTTCTACCCTTATCTGAAGTGCCAATTATAAGCAGCTGACGTTTTTCAGCTGGTGGTGGTGTTAGGGCATTGGAGACATGCTGGAGAGTCATACCTGTGCTTTCCCCCCTTGGAGTCAATTTAAAGTTTGAGTGAAATGATTTATCTGCAGAGATAGGATAGGGTGGGGAGGTGGATTTGGGAATGTGAAGAGTGGGGAATGGGAATAAAGAGTCTTGAAAGTGTTCTGGCACCTGAAATGTGTCCCCGGTTTCAGAATTCACTTCTATCTGCACTGTAACTGAAAATCACTAGCTCCTTTGGCAGCCATGTCCAAAATGGCGGCTTGAGTTCTGGGGAAGAGCATGGCCGTGGTGGTGAAGTCCAAAGAATAGTCCAGCCCAGTGAGGGGTCTGTCTGAGTTTCTTTTAGCCATTGCCTAGCTTGTTGTTTTGATTCTGGTCATCCAAAGACTCTATCAATGTAGGTTACAACATCCAGTCCCCGAGGAAGTTCAATCTTTGATAGATTTCCCTGGTAACCTTGCAAATATGCTTATTCATGCCATATCTTATGCCTTTGGGGGGCTGGAAAAAAAGTGACTTACAGATAATTTACTTTTGATCACATTGTGGTGTTTGCACTTTGAACTCCTACACATCCCAGTGGTCATGGATTCAGGCCATTGGTTTAGAGTTAGCTATATCCATCCATACATGATGCCAATTACGTATCTCTTCCTGTTCATGCTTTCTAACTCTGAGATGGACTGAGCATACTGGGAATGATCACTAGGACCATACTAATGTCTAATATTCACAGGAAATCTGCTTGGGGAAATGAAATCTTTGAAAGACAAATAGAGTCATACAGTGGCTCGCCAGGCAACCATGATTCTCTTTGGGGCAAGTCTTGGAAGACTGATCCAGTTTACACTGTGCATTTCCTAGATTCACTCTGGAAAATTTACTCACTCTCAACTGGAGCAAAAGACTTAACTATGGTCAAATGTCCATCTTTTTATTAGTATAAGTATGCTCTGTTTCTAACTTCATACCTTTTCCATGTAAATTAAAACGTTGTCTCTTTCAAAGTCCTTTAATGTCATTTTCTAAGTGACTTCTGCCTCAGTAACAACACTTCAATTTTGCATTGTGTTTCAGAGACTCAAGTAAATTTCTATTCTTTTTTTTTCCTTTTGTATTCAAATGTGCCTGAGCTTTTAAATATGTAAATGCTGCCATGTTCCAAACCCATCCTTTGTGTCTGTGTATAGAGCTGTGTACCCTGGACATAACATACAGTCCCCTGAGCAGGTGCCTAACACATGGACCCCTTTGCGTTCACAGAGAGGTCATTGGTTATAGAGACTTGAATTAATAAGTGACATTATGCCAGTTTATGTTCTTTCACAGCTTGTAAACAATGCTTTTTGTACACTACACAGCCTTCAGCGTAGAGCTCTTGTTTTATGGGAAAAGGCACAGGTGCCCAATTGTGTTTGATGGATTAATAGGCCCTTCTGCTGATGCATATTATTATTGATGTGATCCTGTTTTGTCGCAGCTTTGCTTTGTTTAATGAAACACACTTGTAAGCCTCTTTGCACCTTGAAACAGTAAAAAAAAAAAAAAAAAAAAAAAAAAAAAAAAAAAAAAAAAATGCTCAAGCACCTGTAAACCATCTTCTCAACCTATTTGATGTTCAAATAAAAAAATCAAACTAAAGACAATGGGTTGTCTTTTTTTTAATGCTCTGCTTCTTGCCGATAGTTCATTGCTCAGTGTGTGAAAGCAAAGAGGATGTTTCAAGGATCTGTAGAGAGCACTGTGAGTCTAATCGCCAGGACCGCCCTGCTTATCTGCCCCCTACCAGGCATGAGTTCAGGAGTAGGCCACTGCCATGAGATAACTCAGCTTGGTGCTCCATTGTATGCAAGTTTTGGTGCTGCTGGTAATTAATCAACACCTAATTTTCAGGGGCTTGTTCTGAGCACCAAATTAGACACTCATTAAAATATTCATTTTCTAATGCCTAGAACCAGTTCCTTCCCTGTGAGGGAGAAGGAAGAGTCAGAGAAGTTATTATGAATGATTAAGAATATGAATGAATGTTCTGACATGGCAATAATTACTTCAAACCATATCCCCATTCCATGGGGTGTAGGAAAAGCAAGGTCTACTCCAGCCCAGATTTGCACTTCATTATTCCTTTCCTTCTTAGAGCCACCAGCAAGATCC